TACATGTTTTAACCATTCTAATAGGTATATTGTATAGGTATATATATTATTTTTTTAAATTTGCATTTCTCTACTGAAGAATGTTGAGAACATTGTCATGTATTTATTTGCCATTAGTAGGTCTTCTTTAGTAAAGTGTCTGTTCACATATTTTGCTTATTCTTTTTTTTTAGTTGGGTTGTTTGATTTTTTGGGGAGTTGTGAAAATTCCTTACAAATCCTAGATACAAGTCCTTTGTTTCTTCTTCTTCTCATTTATAAAAGAGATTGTATAGAGTTGATGTTATTCTTTCTTGTTTGATAGAATTCATTAATGAAGGCATCTGGGCCTGGAGTTTTCTTTTTTTGGAGGGTTTTCAACTATGAATTTAATAGACATAGGACTATTCAACTTATCTACTTCTTTTTGAGTGAGTTTTGTCAGTTTGTGCCTTCCAAGACTTGGTTCATTTTATCTAAATGGTCTAATTTGTGTGCAGAGGGTTGTTTGTAGTATTCCCTTAATTTTTTTATGTCTGTGAAATTTGCGGTGATATCCCATTGTTCATACCACATATCGGTAACATATATCTTCTCTCTTTTTATCTTGATAAATCTAGCTAAAAGTTTATCAATTTTATTGATCTTTTAAAAACCAGCTTCTGGTATTATTGATTTTTCTCCATTGTTTTATCTTTTCTTCAATTTCACTAATTTCTGTTCTTATATGTATTATTTTACTCTTTCTGCTCGGTTTGGGTTTAGCTAGCTGTTCTCTTTCTAGTTTCCTAAGGTAGAAGCTTAGATTATTGATTTGAACCTTTGTTCTTTTCTAAAATAAGCGTTTCATGTATAAACTTCTCTATAGACACAGCTTTAGCTGCATCCCACAAATTTTGATATGTTGTATGTTCATTTGCATTCAGTTCAAAGTGTTTCCTAATTATCCTTGAGACTTCCTTGTTGATCAATAAATTTCTTAAAGTGTGTTGCTTCATTTCTAAATATTTAGAGGTTTTCTGGATATCTTCCTGTTATTGATCTAATTGATTCCATTATGGTCAGAGAACACACTTTGTATGATTTAATTCTTTTAAATTTAATAAGATTTGTTCTGTAACTCCGAATGTGGTCTATTTTGGTGAATGTTCCATGTACACATGAAAACAAAGTATATTTTGTTGTTTGGGGGGGAGCATTACATAACTTAACATAGGTCAAGTTGATTGACAATGTTGTTTAGGTCTTCTATATTCTTGCTGACTTTTTGTCTACTTGTGCTATCAATTATTAAGAAAGGAGAACTGAAGCCTCTAACTGTAATTATGTATCTGTTTCTTTCTCCTTTCAGTTCCATTAGCTTTTTCTCCATCTATATTGAAGCTCTGTTATTAAGTATATACACATTTAAGGTTGTTATATCTTCTTAGAGAGTTGACCCTTTCATTATTATGTAATATCCTCCTGTATCCCTGACAATTTCCTTATTCTGAAGTCTATTGTGTCTGATATTAATACAGCCACTAGCTTCTTTTTTTTACTAGTGTTTGCACGACAGGGTTAGCTTTCCCATTCTTTTACTTTTAATTTATCAATAACATTGTGTTTGAAGTGAATTCTGTAACAGCATACAGTTGGATCTTGAGGCTTTTAAATCCAATCCAACAATCTCCAGCTTTTAATTGATGTGTTTAGACAATTTATGTTCAGTTCAAGTATTGATATGGTTGTATTTAGGTGTACCAATTTTATTATTAGCTTTCTAGTAAATATTTGTTTTCTTTTTTCCCTTTTCCTGCCTTTTAGATTATTTGAATATTTCTTGTCATTACATTTTATTTATTAGCTTTTTTAATATGTCTCTTTGTATAACTTAGTTGTTTCTTTAGGGGTTATAATATACATACCTGATTTTTCTTGGTCTACTTAGAGTTAATAGTTTACCACTTCAAGTGAACTTTATAAACTTTACCACTATATAAATCCCTTTACCCTTTACCCTTTATATTACAGTTGTCATATTGCTGAATTTAAAAACATAAAAAATCCTATCAGATATAATTTTTGCTTTGAACATTCATACAAAAATATGAATGTTACACAGATTTGCATGTCATCCCTTCATTGGGGCCATGCTAATTTTCCTGGATGGTTCCAATTTTAGTGTATGTGCTACCAATGTGAACAATAAATAGGTTTTTGAAGTGCTTTCCTGGTAAAGATTTATTTGAAACTTGTCCAAGTTTGTGAAACTAGGGGATGAAATTAGAAGCACAGTGTTTTTCTCTGACCAAAGCTAAAATTGATGTTAACTGATTATGCTTTGACATTGCAGAGCACAAAATGAAGTCCTCTTACCTTGAACTAAGGCATAATATAAACTTAAAAACTGGAAATATGGATAGAAATAGCTTATAATCAAAGAAGACTTTTTTTTTACAACATGAAAGTTTATAATATCAAAACTATCAGTTATCTGAAGGTTTATAATATCAAAACTATTGGTAATTATATCAAATGGGAGGTATTCTAGAAATTGTGATTAAAAGGGAACTGTCTCAGTTTCCAATAAGCAGTAGATATTTGGAGAAGATGAAATGAAAGTTAACCCTGCCAGGTTTGGGATTGAGGAAAGGGAGGTCATACCACACATTGTTTAAAGCACAGTCAAATAAAATGGGCTAAAATGTGTGTAAAACATTTTTCATTAAAAAAAAAAAACAGTAAAACCTCTCAAAGGCAGTTTATGCATATAACATTATTTACTCCTGCCACATCGCTATTAAAAATATTGTCCACGCTCCAGTGCAGGAACGCGATGAGCCTGTGCATCATGCAGTGAAGGCACCAGTCTCACTCTGTAACCTTGGTCCCTCCCTAGAGTATGTAGTCATTGGCTCGCAATGTGCAGCTGTGAAGGTGACTGTTTCTATCAAGGATTTGGTGATGTAAGCCTGACACCAAAGGGGAGGAGAGCAATTAAACCTCACCTTGCCTGAGCTATAATATACCAAGAGGGTTGCAAGTTGGCCTTGGTGACTGCTTTCTTCAGTGAGGAGGAGACATTTGCAGTTGGAGTCTGCTGGAAAGCAGCCGCCATAAAGGGTGGTCAGGACACCTTGCCCTCTGTTCTGCCTGTCAGATACCTGATCTTTCAGGAAGGTTGGGCTGAAGTTCCTTTTGTTCCATGAAGCCTTTCCAGCTTCCCATCCCAACCCTGGTCAATAGTCTCTCCACATGCCAGCTTATATAGCCCCTCCATCTGCCCAGTTCAGGTGGCAGCCTTAGTTTTTCTTTCATGTGACTTATCTTGAAATGGATTTTAATCTCCCTTAAGACCAGGAAATTAAAATCTCCTTTGTTTCCCCCAAAATGATTTACACAGTTTGCACTTAGTTTGAGAGAAAAAGTTGGTAGAGTAGTTGAGAGCACAGTCTGTCTGGGTTCAAATCCTGATTTCACCATTTTATAGCTAAATGAGTACAGGCAAGTTACTTAAGTACCCTATGCCTCAGTTTTCCCACTTGTCGAATTGGGATAATAATACTATTTGTAAAGACTAAACACATTAAAACACATAAAGTACTCAACATTATTGCTTGGCACATAATAAGTACTATTACTTATTTTTTATTAAGTAATTCATTTTTTCTTATAAAGCTGTGAACAAATACATATTTGTAAGGAAGGCAAGACAGAGCACAAACAGGATCAACTAAAGAGAAGGCAAAGAAAAGAAAGAATTTGACCATGTTCTGGGTGCAAAAGACCTAGTAACTATTTGTAAAAGAAATGAGGGGCGGAAATGTATATTGGTACAACCACTTTAGAAAACCATATGGGAGTATTTACTCAAGAAAAACATTCTTACACTCTACAACTCAGCAATCCTAAGTATATATCCTAGAGAAAAGTGCTCCTGAATCTAACCAAAGGATGTTTGATAGGTAGAATGGTTCATAGCAGAAGTATGTGTTACGGTCATTAACTGGAAACTGTGCAAATGTCTATCAACAGAAAATGGATAAACTGTGGCAATGAAAATGGATGGTCTTGAAATTACACACAGCCCGATGTACGAATTTCACATAGTGATGAACAAAAGAAGCCAGACACCAAGATTCCAGGCAAAACCACCCTGTGCTGTTAAAAGTTAGGACAAAGGTTACCCTGGTTGGGGAGAGAGCTGAAGGGGGAGGAGAAGTAGAGAGGAGAGAGCAGGAGGAGTTCTAGGGGTGCAGCTAACATCTTATTTCTTCATTTGGTGTTGGCTACACGGCGGGGGTGGGGGGTGGTTCAGATTGTGAAAATTCTTTGGACTACACACCTATGGTAAGTGTATTTTTCTGTATGCTATCACACTTCACCAAAGGAAAAAAAAGAGGAACAGAAATGAAACAGCAATAGGAAATGAAGGAAAAAATAGAATGAAAAAGAAAATGAAAGAAAGGGGAAGAAAAAACCCCAGAAGAGTGAAAGACAGGGATCCTGGTTCCGGCCGCACCTGACCCGGCTGGCTCACCCCTGCGCCCCGCCACCGCCCCTGCCCCGCCCCGCCCCCAGCCCTGCTCTCTGTTTGAGCGGCGCCGGGATGGCAAACGCCTGTTCTCGGGGTGCTTTTCCTTCCCTGCCCTCTCCCCACCGCCCCTCCCCGTTCTGAGCTTCCTAAGGCAGGAAGGGTTTTCCAAGTGGGTAACGCTGGTAGCAGAGTAACTTGGAGCTAACGCTTCATTAAAGAAAACCTTCTCCTCTCTTCTTTGCCTTCCCCTTGCTCTTCTCCTCCGCTCCTCCCCACCTCCGCATCCCCCTCCAGGACGTCCTCTCGGCCTAGGTGGCAGAGCCTGCGCCGGCTCTGTCCCCGCCTCCCGCACAGCGGGGTCGTGGGGCCGGGGCCGGGCGCTGCAGAGGCCGGAGCTCCAGGGTGTCCCCTCCCGCGCCCGCGCCCGCGTCCCCGCCCGGGCTGACCCCGCCCCGCGGCCGCCGGCTATTTTGGGCGCGCTGGCGGAGGCGGCGGGATCGCTGACAGTCACGGATCCTGTGACACCTCCCGGCAGCCTGGCACTTGTTGCGCCCAGGACCTGTGGTCATCCCTTCGCCCGCCTTTCCCCCTTCCCCGTGCCCCTCCCGGCTTCTCTCCTTTCCGTGTGACCACCTGGGACACTGCCCTCCCAGACTTGGCTGCCCCAGCTAGAGAAATAGATGGTTTAAAAAAAAAAAAAAAAAAAGAATTAAACGCCGCCCTGAAGAGGGGCCCCGCCGGGCAGGAGCACGAGCGCAGAGCGCTGGCCTGGGCGCTGCAGAGGTGGCGCCTCCACGGCCCGGGACAGTGGCCCCGGGCGCCAACGGCATGACAGACTCGGCGACAGCTAACGGGGACGACAGGGACCCCGAGATCGAGCTCTTCGTGAAGGTAGGTCAGCGCCCGGGCGCCCGCCGCACCTGCCCGCGTCCAGCCGGGCTCCGGGCGGGCGGGCTCACGTGCCAGGGCGCGGGGCGCGCCGGGACTCCGGACCCTCCCCAGGGAGGGCAGCCCGGGGCCCTGGCGGTCCCCTGGGTGGCCTTTCCGCAGCCCAGCACCTCGCTTCGGGGTTCCTGGGTGGCAAGGAGTGAGGTACAATCTGGCAGGTGGCTGTCTTCTCGGAGAGTTGTCCCGCAGTTTGTCAAACCCGCCACGGGACTGGCGGTCGCCGCTGTGAGTCCCGAGCCGGGCCAGGGCGCGATTTTGGCTGGCCCTGAAGGACATCTCCAGGTATAGGGACATGGCAGGAACCTCGCTGCATCTGTGAACCTTTCTTCTAAAATGGGAGGAGGGGTAGGGATGGGAGAGAGAAGAAAACGTTATTGATACGATTACCTTTGGCAAAGCAAAAATAACATGTCTTAAAATTTCCTTTCTCTCTTTTACTCAGAACTGCTAAAATAAATTTAAAAAGCAGACAAAGGTATTTTCTTGCTTTGTGACTTGCAAAGTAGAAAACAAGCACCCCATTCCCCGACGTTCTTATTGTCACAGTCATGATTGCACAGGGTAGTGTCAGGGGAACGCTCAGCCTTTGGAACTGGGGGAAACCCCCCCATCGACCTGAGGCCGGCTGGGATGCAGGAGCGCAGTGCAAAATTAAATTAAGTCGCCTTTCTTCCTGGGCAGAAACAGGCTAACGTCAAAAGCTGCGGTACTTCATGGTACTTCATTTGCAACCCATAAGAGAAAGGACGGAGGCCGAGGCAGCGTTTCCCCGTCGCCGGTGTAAGGAGAAAGGAACATTTGATCAGTCTTAGGTGCAGACACTGCAGGAGCCGGGAAACCTGAGGCGCAGGAGAGAGAGTTGCCTCCAGGGCCCAGAAGAAAGAGTCGCCAGGACTTGGGGGAGGGGGAGTCCTCAGGCTGCCTGAGCACAAGACCTTTCACAAAGGAGAAAAAAACCTTGGAATGCATTCCCTAGAAATATGCAGATAGCGCAGAATGGAAGAGTCTCAGGTACCTGTATTTGGGCCTCCTGGCTGAATTTAAAAGGCATAAATAGTCCCTGGACTGGGGAAAGATGGTATTTTGCCCAAAGGATCCTTATCTACAAGCTAATTAAATAGATTTTTACTAATAGTATAAGGCCTGTGTAAACCTTGATAACAATTGATGATCTTTGGTGCCCTTTGACTCCTAGAATGTATAAAATCAATTGTGACTTATTTTACACTTGGTACGCGATCTGCCTCAGTTGGCGCAGCCTACCACAAAGGTTCGTTAAATTTCTTCTGCTGGGTTTTACATTCTTTGTGTTTATATTTCAAAATTACTCCTGACATTTACTGACGCTTGCTTTCTGCACCCCGTTCTCTCCCCACTGTGGTGGCCCCTGGGCCCTCAGTTGGTTTCTAGGATATCCTCTCCCTCACCCGCCACCGGATTTTTAGGTCCTCTGCAAGACCCAGGTAATAAAGAGTCACATCATCCCCTGTGAGGCTGGGCAGTGCTGGGCAGTAAGGGGGTGCTCGGAACCCCAGCATCCAGGCTTGCAGTCTAGGGAGTGAATAAGGAGAGCTCTAACAAAGCTGGGTCTTGCTGCTCTCCTTGAAGAAAGCTATTCTAGAACTCACTCAGATTCCCTGGGAGTAGGCCATTTCAAGGTGTCAAGTTCCTGAAAGATATTTGAAACACAAATTGGTCTTTTAGAGCCAAAGGAGCCCTTTGCCCCACTGCTAGGTGTGGACACCAATTCTACCAGCACCTTTGGAATGTCTTGCTGGCAGCTTTGGAGACTTTCTCCATTTAGGCAAAAAGCACACTGCACAGCTCCCAGTGCCCCCAAAGAATTCTAAAATGCTTGTGTTGCCATTTGTTTTTTCCCGAAAGGAAAGCAGTCCATGAGAGCCAGGCCGGCCTTCACGGCCAGCTCAGAAAGCCGATTGATGGGGAGAACAAATAATCAGATAGGAAAGCTGTTTTGACAGCTGTCCCCCCACCACCCCAACCCAATTCTTGAGTTTCTGGTTAGTTGTTTTTTACAGGGCCAAGTAAAGGCTAGAAATACTGTGAAACAAAGATGCTGCCCAGACCTTGCTTGAACCCTGTCATTTGAGTGAAGCAATGTCCTCATTTACAGAAGCAAACTTTTCCAAAGTTTGAAATTTCTCTAAACTATATGATTCCCATAGAAAGAAGAGTCTTCTTGGTGGTGGTGTCAGGTAACAGGTGCTTTCTCCAGGGCAGGGTGGGACTCCATGAAGCTTCCCAGGCAGGGCATGCCCCACCCGAACAGTTCTGATGTTGGGCATTTTCAGTGGCCCCTTGAAATCAAGGACCCCTCAACCTGGCCTGTCTACTGGGTCTACCGTTCTAAACCTCAGTCACCCGGTGAGTTTCGGGGAAAGACATGTGATTCTCTCCTATATCGATTGGTGGTCATTATCTGTCACCACTACTGCTGATAATGATGAGAAGAAGAAGAAATGGCAGCATTTTAGGACTTATGAAGTATGTTCAAATACCTTATCTCATCTGATCCTCAGCAACCTTGTTTATGAGGCTTGGTTCACTCATGTGAAAGATAAAGAAAACAAATAAACCTTACTCACAGGGATCTCTTAAGGCTTGATGCTGTCAGAGCACTTAATGAGCTACAGTTTGCTCTTCCAGTAACAGCCCAGGGAAATGAGAATGGTGATTAGTGCCGTTTTATGCTTGAACAACACGTGCGCTCAGAGAGGGTATGTGAACTGCCCAGAGGTAGACGGCAAATAATAGTCAGATCGAGTCCTCAACTCTAGCGGTATAGATTCTAAATTTCTTGCTCTTTTCCAAAGACCTATACGTCAGGCCTAGTACCATATTTTGCCAAGTGCCATCCGTGATGATAATTATTTATAATTTATTAATCTATGCATAGAATGCTATTAAGGAGACTACCTCCCTTTCGGCTAGGCATTCCAAATCTTCCCCTTCCAGGGAACATTCTAACAGTGACTTTTAAGAGATCATTTCCCCACAGTTTTAGTTTCTTCATCTATAATAAAAAAGGCTAAAGGTTAAATTAGATCAGCTCTGATTCTAATGTTCCCTAATACCTGGGGCAGGGGGTGGTGGGCATGGAGATTTGGAGACACAGGGCCTGAGTTCAAGTCATGCTTCTGCCTCTAATTGACTAAATGAGTCTAAATGACTCTGAACAAGTTATTTAACTGCTATGAGCCTCAGTAGCCCCCTTTTAAAACAAGAGAGTGGCTATAAATAAGGTGACCCCATGATTTCTCGTCCAAACCTAGACACCTCTGGAAATGAAAGGAGATGTTACTAACAATTAGGCTGGGACAACAGGTGTCACCCAGGATTGTTTGGGGGGCAAATCAGGATGTGCGGTCACTCTGATTATGAAAATACTGTAGCCACAGATTCTCTGTGAGGATTCCAAAGGGGCATATAGGTCAAAGCACTTTGTATATTGAAAATTGCTATAAACACATTGACTTCAATCATGATATAAGTTCCATGGCAGATAGAACCTTTCTGGATCTACATGTCCCTGACTTGCCTTAGGGAACAAAGACCTGGTTCCTTCCTCACTTGCAAGGATATTTTGAGAATAAGCGAGATCGTATGTAGCTTGGACTTTGATCACAAGGGGAGGACAACAGGTTAGAGACTTGATAATGGCAGGGAGCGTGTGGTTTATTGAAAGAAAGAGAGCAAGGAAGTAAAAGCAAAACAGAAAGCAATTTGAAAAGACAAACACAGGATGTGCTGTGTATGTCAGATGGAGACATTCCTCCTGCTTGTGTTGCTTCCTCCACGCCTGGTCTCTGCCGTAGACCCCAGTTCTAGAAAGCTACCAAAGTGCAGTGACTCTGGTAGGCAAATTCATCACTAATGTCTCTTGGGCCAGGAACTGAAGTTTCAACAGAAACCAGTGGTTCTCAATGTTGGCTACATATTCAAATCATTTAGGGAGATTTTAAAACTCCCGATGCCAAGTTGCTCCCCAGGCCAGCGACATCAGTGTCTCTGCGGGTGGGACTCAGAAACAGTATTTTTACACCCACACCCGGGTGACGCCAGTGCACAGCCCTGGCAGAGAGCCATTGAGTCATAATTAGAAGCAGGTCCATTAGCAGGCAGCTGCTGCCACAGCTGGAGTAGGTGGCCTTGCTAGCCCTGGTTAACGTCCAGAACTTCTAACAGCCTCGGGGCATCAGGGTCAGGCGTGCTGTTGATGGAGAGCCTGCACCCAGTCCTGCTCAGTTAACAGATGCTGACGGCCTGTTAAGCCCTATCCACAGGACTCCAGAACAATCAGTGCATGGGGTCGGTCTAGTCAAATAATCATCAATTCAGTGTGGGAGAAATAAAACCCAGTCCTGCTAATTGTCTGATGGAAATGACTAGTCGTTTCATTTACTGAGAGACCCAAAAGGCTTTGACAGTGGTGCAGGCTGCAATACAAGTTGTGGTGACCTATGGTGTGGTCATCTGACTTCTAGAACA